CAAACCTAGCAGCCTGAGCGGCCGTGCATTTCCGTAACCGTCCGCTCCCGTTCGTGTTCGTGTATCAGCGTTTGCTGATTTTACGCGTCCCCAAAAATCGACAGGATCCGTTAAGCTATCGCCTCGTCCGATAGGTTCCGTCAGAGTTCTCGTTCTTGGCGGAGTTGGGCCTGTTCCACCCCAACTCCCAGTTTATACCGGCTCGTCAGTTCCCGGTGGAAAAAGAATTGGCTGGCGCCCGCCTGGCTTGCGGATGCACGAACGACGGGTGGACGGCCGAAGGTAACGTAGGTTGGTTCTCGAAGATAGTCGTTCTCGTATGTTTTGCTATCGGTGTCGGGTCATAAGTTAAAAGAATTACGCTACAATTTATAATGCCTAAAAAATCGCTCGTTAAATATCAATGATCTTTGATTGGTAAAAATCATGCTGTGAAGAAAAGATTTATATTTTTCACAAATTAAATGGTATATTCCGTAATTGAACCACGGTTGTGGTTCAATTACGGAATATGCCCAGAGTTTTATGTCTAACGCTGTCGCCTGTATAAGGATTCAGTTAAGCCCTTCACACACAAAATAACGTAACGACGTAAGCAACAAATTGTTTGAAATCTTTTACTATAAAGCACCCCAGTCTCCTTCAAGATGAAACTGAGGTACACTGCTTAGTAAAAATACTCAATTTTCAAATTTATTAACATCTTATTAAATATACTGCAAAATTAAATAGGTCTCTCCTAAATTAAAAAAATTACAAACAAATGTTAGTGCATCGTCTCACGAATCATCTTCGATGTATAAGACAGCAGAAAATGACGAGTTGCATACTGAAACTGAAAGCAGAAAAAGTGTAATTGTAACACAGCAGGTGAAAGAAATCGATCAATTAGACTCAGGCAATCAAAGATCTGTTAAAAGAGCTGTTGATCATGCAAAACATAAATCACATATAAAGCAAAAACTAATGCAACATGTAGTAAAGACCTTCCTGGTAGGAAGGTCTTTTTCTTTTTCCAAAAGAATAAAGGACGATCATGATCTTTGATTAATCCATTCTTTATGTCGTATATAGCTGCAGCAAAACGGTCCAGAATATCTAGTAAAGAAGAGAAGATCTGTTTTTGAATTAGCAACAATTTGAATATCGATCAAGAAAAAAAATGGAAGGCCTATTCAGACAAATTTCAATCTTAAGGAGTATTTGAAAGGGGCCAAACATAAAGCTCAAAATATGGCAGCACCGTGAATGTAATTATTAAATAACTATATGAATTACACTTCGTATGTAGCTGTAATTAATATTTTATTGTAACTGTGACCAGGAGAAACTTTATGAAATGGGAAAAATGGCAAAATCTTCTTGATCGAGAATAACTTAATAGATCATGCTGATGGTCGTGGCGCCTGGCAGTATATGATTAACCGAAAGGTAATGCTATCGACTGATCGATTTATATTCAATATACGATTAAATAGAAATACTATACATTATTTAAAAATATAATTTTGTTTTCAGAACTGTGGTCAACGGACAAAGATGTTATTAAACAATCACTTTGTAAAGTACATACTTCCCTACATCGAAGAACTTCACTTGCCTACAAAGATAGAAAAAACATTTCTTAAGTCTCCGAAATTCCAAAGAATATTAGTTATAAATCTTATGCATTTTATTCAAATAACATTTCTTTATTTTTGAATGTCATGTATTACGTTATGTAATTATACTGAATAACTACATTTTTTTTTACTTATTCTGCCGTAAAAAAGTTCAGACGCGAATTAAGTTATTGGATATGAATTTATCTTTTTTAAAAAAGATTAAAAAATGATCTTAACAATAATGAAGATTAATAAGAGTGATGCTGCTCGATTCAGCTGTCAATTCTCAGTAAGTTTCTACATGTCCTTTGGTAAAAGTTCAAAGTGGTAGCGTATACAACATACAGCACGTATATTACATTGCAGTGATTATGTAATATATCTCTAATGGTATAGTCATTGCTAATCTTTTGTAAACCATATATGTATGTATATCTGTACCTCGTATGCTGTATCATTATTGCGTTTGTCAAATAAATCATCTTTAAACACATATACACGTTGATATTCATACGACATACAACACGTATATTATAATGCAGTGATATATGTAATATATTGTTATTGCTAATCTTTTGTAAACCATATATGTATGTATATCTGTACCTCGTATGCTGTATCATTATTGCGTTTGTCAAATAAATCATCTTTAAACACATATACACGTTGATATTCATACGACATACAACACGTATATTATAATGCAGTGATATATGTAATATATTGTTATTGCTAATCTTTTGTAAACCATATATGTATGTATATCTGTACATCGTATGCTGTATCAATATTGCGTTTTTTCAAATAAATCATGTTTAAACACATATACACGTTGAAATTCTTTTACCCTATGCGAATATTCCAGAGTACGAATGAGTTCTGTCTCTTTCGTACTCTCCTCCGTCCTAACTGCATCCTTCTCCTACTCCTAATATAATTTGAAATTCAATCCTCGAAATTGCACCATTGGGAGGCTGTATCTCCAAAACGGCTGGGTTTAGGGCTTTTTCCTTGAAATTTTGAAAGATCTCTTAATGCAGAAAGTCAGAAATGGTCCATAGAAGAGGCTGGTACAGGTTAGATTGCGATAGGGCGACTTTCAAAAAATTCCTTTACTTTTCGGAACTTATGAATATTAAAAAATTTACATTAGTTCGAATTTTTGCCGATAAGGGGGCAGCACCTCCTGGGCACGATAAGTGGCGCCATCTCTGAGAGAATGAGTGAACTTTCTCGTTGAAATAAATCCGAATGCAATTTGAAAATAACTTAGACGAAATTTCAATGGGTAAATTCTTAATAAAGAATTCGCATTAGTTCGAATTTTCGCCGATAAGAGGGCAGCACCTCCTAGGCATGATAAGTGGCGCCATCTCTGAGAGAACCAGTGAACTTCTTCCGATAAAATAATTCCGAAAGTAATTAGAAAATCAGCTGTATCTCGGAAGAGACTGGTACAGATCAAATTACGATAGGGCACTTTCAAAAAATCCCTTTACTTTTTGCAACTTGCAGATAGAATGAAAGTAATGGCAGAGAAGACCTTATCAAAGAATTCAAATTAGTTCGAATTTTCGCCGATAAGAGGGCAGCACCTCCTGGGCATGATATGTGGCGCCATCTCTGAGAGAACGAGTGAACTTTCTCGATCAAATAATTCCGAATGCAATTTGAAAATCATTTAGACGAAATTTCAATGAGTAAATTCTTATTAAAGTATTCGCATTAGTTCGAAATTTCGCCGATAAGAGGGCAGCACCTCCTGGGCATGATAAGTGGCGCCATCTCTGAGAGAACGAGTGAACTTTCTCGATCAAATAATTCCGAATGCAATTTGAAAATCATTTAGACGAAATTTCAATGAGTAAATTCTTATTAAAGTATTCGCATTAGTTCGAAATTTCGCCGATAAGAGGGCAGCACCTCCTGGGCATGATAAGTGGCGCCATCTCTGAGAGAACGAGTGAACTTTCTCGATCAAATAATTCCGAATGCAATTTGAAAATCATTTAGACGTAGGCTGGCACAGATCAAACTGCGATAGGGCACTTTCAAAAAATCCCTTTACTTTTTGCAACTTGCAGATGGAATGTATCACTACAATATAATATACGTGTTGTATATTGCATGCGCTACGATTTTAAACTTTTCTTTTTCCAAAGGACTTTTAACAACTTACTTAGGATATATTAGGATATATTAGGAGGAGAGTAATGGAGATATAGGAAGGAATAGGAGATTCGAAAAGTGTATGTGTTACAAGATAATTTATTGGACAAACGTAATAATGATACAGTATACAAAGTGCAGACATACATACAAACATACACATACAGCCCACCAAAGATTTGTAATAACAGTACCATTAAAGATATATTACATATATCACTGCAATATAATATACGTGTTGTACGTTATATGCACTACGACTTTAATTTTTCCTTTTTTCAAAGGGCTTTTTAACAACTTAGATTTTAAGGATATGCTAGGTGGAGAGTGATGGAGATAAGGATATATTAGGAGGAGAGTGATGGAGACAGAGGAAGGAATAGGAGATTCGAAAAGTGTACAAGTGTTACAAGATAATTTATTGGACAAATGCAATAATTATACAGTATAGGAAGTACAGATATACATACATATATGGTTTACAAAAGATTAGCAATAACAATACCATTACAGATACATTAAAATATATCACTACAATATAATATACGTGTTGTATATTGCATGCGCTACGATTTTAAACTTTTCTTTTTCCAAAGGACTTTTAACAACTTACTTAGGATATATTAGGATATATTAGGAGGAGAGTAATGGAGATATAGGAAGGAATAGGAGATTCGAAAAGTGTATGTGTTACAAGATAATTTATTGGACAAACGTAATAATGATACAGTATACAAAGTGCAGACATACATACAAACATACACATACAGCCCACCAAAGATTTGTAATAACAGTACCATTAAAGATATATTACATATATCACTGCAATATAATATACGTGTTGTACGTTATATGCACTACGACTTTAATTTTTCCTTTTTCCAAAGGACATTTTCAAAACTTAGTTTTTAAGGATATACTAGGAGGAGAGTGATGAAGATATAGGAAGGAATAGGAGATTCGAAAAGTGTACAAGTGTTACAAGATAATTTATTGGACAAATGCAATAATTATACAGTATACAAAGTACAAATGTACATATTGTATAGTCCGCGAAAGATTAGCAATAACAATACCATTAGAGATACATTAAAATATATATATACAATATAATATACGTGTTGTATGTTACATGCGCTACCACTTTGGACTTTTATTTTTCCAAAGGACTTTTTAACAATTTAGTTTTTAAGATTATACCAGTAGGAGAGTGATGGAGATATAGGAAAGAATAGGAGATTCGGAAATTGAGTAGAAATGTTTGGTGACAGCAGCCAGGGAAGATGTTGTTGAAGGGAAAAAGATGAAGATTGTCAAAAAGAAAGAGTGAAAAACAGAGATGGTAAGGATTGAGGGAACAAGGAAAGAAGAAAATGAGTAAACCGTGTGCACGAGAACCAGATTATTCGTGAGGAACGACAAATGAGAAAATTCGAAAAAGTAGGAAAATTAAGAAGTTTAAGGGAACGAAATGGGCCCCACCGCGCCCATTTCCGTGAGGTCCTGCCTCTCCTGAAGGGAGCTACGACCCCTCCGAAGCCCCATAGGGGACCGTGTTTTTTTT